GGAAATCAGGTAGTACATCCTGGGCATTTGCAGTTAGCCCAAGTGTGTTTTGTTGAAATGTGAATTGGTGAAAAACGTTCACTGATGCTGCATTTTTGTAGCAGAAATGCTTCCAACTATCTTTTTGGAGGTGGCTGTAGCGCACATTTCCTTCCGTATCTGTGGGCACATGATTCTTGCAATTAGTTCTCCTATTGAGAGCAGCACTCCCTCCTCACCCCATCTCCTTTACAGCCTAAGGGCACCTGAAACGAATGATTCTTTCTTCTTCATAAATCATACATACCAGTAATACAGCCAAAGAATTGTTAATGTGTTTGGGGAGTTTACATAATGAACCTTTCTGGGTAAAGGTGAAGTATGGTCGATGCACTGCCTTGCTGGAATTATGTTACAGCCTTGCTGTATGGCAAGTAGACTGCCTAAATCCGTCTGTAAGTCTGTGAAAAGTTTTGAGGCTTTCTCTCAGTGATCAGTTAACTATATCAGCATGCCCCGAGCCAGCTTTTTAAAATGTTATATGATGTTCAGTCATCTGTGAATTGTATTGGGTTCCACAGGCATCACTGAAGTATATTCTTGGGGTTTTTAAGTTAATAAAATTTTGGAACCTAGTAAGTTAGGAAATATGTCTTAAGGTAGTTCTGAGTCCTTCAGTGAAGGCATCACCCCTTCAGGGCTGTGGTTTCCATTGCTTAATATCACAGGAGCTATCCTTACATAGGAAAAATATTGTGTTGCTAGGCAAGGATTTGCCATTAATTACTGTGTTCTCTGACTTTATGTACAGCTCTGGGCTTGGGTGTTCAGGGTCTTGCTTAGCACTGGGTTCCAAAAATAGCTGTCTTTTGTGACCTGGCCAGTTTGTAGCTAGCATTTGTGCAGAGCAAACTTGTGCTTTCTTCCTCTCACTGTCACAGCTACAGCAACCTCCATCTATTCACTCCCATAGCACCTCCCCACATTGTGTTGGGAAGGTGTCAATAGTAAGAACAACAAATGCCCCTTCTTCTTTTTTAGGAATAGGAAGCTGATGCCTTGGTATTCCTGGCCTCCTGCTCACCCAGAGAGAACTTGGGTCATTGCTGTGGTCTCCAGTGAGGTACTGGCAGAACAGATAGCATGACTAACAGCTGAAATGCTTGCTTTATTCTTCAGGGCTTTACTGGTATTGAGTCATACAATTTGAAAAACTCACGGCTTGTGCAAAGGGCAGCCCGAATCTGCAAGGAGGACCTTTGTGCCATGTTCTCAGCCACCTGGCTGCTGCAGAGGTCATCAGCTTTGCAGGTTTCTCTGTGGGTCTCTGTAACTGCTTGCGAATTCCTCTCCTTGCCAGCCACTGGCAACCCTGTGGATATTGGGTAGATGTCATGAAAAGGAAAGAGAATGCAGGACAGGGAGAGAGGCTGCTTTTCATGGCCTATCGCTTCTTGCTGCCTTTGCTCCTGCTGCGCCTTTCTGACACATGAGTTTTGGATCTTGTGGATTTTCATTTCCAGTTAGTTATTATTTGTGTTATAGGTTAGATCTCAGCCCTGAAGAACTTCCAGGGCTGTCAGGTTTGTGCCAGGCCGTCACTGCTTGTAGCTGCCATTGCTTCTGTGTCTGTGGTTTCACTGTCATAGTCCCCCGTCCCCATTCCACATGTGGCCCTACTCACACATACACATGTACTATCACTTTTGCAGGGACCTGTGGATATCCCTGACAGTATTTACTGCTTTTTCTCCCCACTCTCTTTTCTTCTGTCAACACTCCCCGTGTCCACCTTGGGTGTCACTGTGTGATGAGAGCAAATGGCACAACAATGGTTTTGGCTGATACTTGATGTCAGCTGTGCCTTCATGCGCAGTCCTGGCTGCCTCTCTACGTTTGTGCTTGAAGCACAGAGAAGAGTCCAGTCTGAGTAAGCTTTGAATGAGCTGTTCACCTGTGGCAGCTCAGTACCTTCAGTTGGTGTCAAGGTGCATTGGGGACAAGCTAAAGAGCTTGGTCTCCTGTCTAAGAGGAAACCTGCTCCTCTTGGCATAGTTATTAAAGTGAAGTGGTAGAAGAGTACTGAGAGCTCCCATGGATTTTTCCTTCTTAGGTATGTAGTGCAAATTTTTTTCAAATAGATTTTTCTACTAGATGATGGCTTGACTTGCTTTTATCTTGAAACTGAGCTGTGGCAGAGTGCTAGAGAGTTGTATGGTTGGAATAAGGTTGCATTGCACCTGTGAAGCTGCACGTCCAACCTTTGAACAAGGCAATGTCAGCAAAGGTCAAGGGGTTAGATGGCTGTGGCTACTCTTTAACTTGTCTTTAGTTATGTTCTGAAGGAATCATACTAACCTCTCTACTTACTGGTCATTACCGCTGATCCACACCTCTGATTATGATTTGAGATATTTTGGGAAAGTATGAGCAGTTTTTGTCACGTAGGTGGCAAGCCCATTCCTGACCTTGCAGATAGACTGATTTACATCTGCAGAAGCAGTACTTCCACTCTGTCCTTGGGCAGACTAGTCACGTGAGAGTAGGTTTGGGTTAGATATTAGCATGCACTGTGAGGGTGCTGAGGCACTGAACAGGTTGCACAGAGTAGCTGTGGCTGCCCCATCCCTGGAAGTATTCAAGACTAGGCTGGATGGAGCTCTGACAACCTGGTCTAGTGGAAAGTGTCCTTGCCCACAGCAGGGGTTGGAACCAGATGATGTTTGAGTCTCTTCTATGATTTTATGATAAGCCTTAATTTCTGAATTTCTGGGCATCGGGATTTTTTCTTGTAATACTGCAGTATTGTTATACCTGAAGCTTTTTTGATAGATTGGCAGATAAAGCAGGTAAGAATTGTGTCTTTTACTGTCTTGAGCTCGACTTTGATTTGGATGGTCTGTAACTGCAGATTGTGTATGGATACTTCTGTGCAAAATGCAAATCTGCTGAGTTGCTTCTGGCTGAAAACTGGATCTGGTGGCTTCATTGATTCTTTTCTGAGTTTCTGTAACTAATTTCTATTCTGGCCATTGTCTCTTAATACTTTTTTTTTTTTTTTTCAGCCAGAAATTGCCTGGCATCATGGATATCTCTCTTTCATTTTTCTCTTTCAGCTGTATGCTAGTCTGTTATCGTGTAAGCTCCTTTCTTGATAGTCTTCCTTTGTGTGTGCCTGTACCATAGGGATATGGAGATAGTAATGGATAAGGAAATAAGGAAGATAAAACCTCTCCTCATTTTCTTCCACTTTCTCTCGGTGTGGCCTGCACACAGATGTGTAGCCCCTTCTGCAGCAGTGTTCAGCTCCCCAGCACACAGATTATCTTTTGGTGCCTTTGTGTAGCATGGTGCTGGTGTGGAGCTGGTGTCCCATGGGCTTCATAATGGTGGGCATCTCTCTCAGCAGTGGTCTCTGTGCCACATTAAGATAAAGCATCCCAAAAGTGCTGGTGGACAGGGTGTGCCAGTTCCCCCTGAAGCCATTTTACATGTTCTAGGAGCTCCTGCCTTCCGACTGCCCCCCGCTCCTTCCCAAGTCAGGATTATCACTGCGTGTTTGTTGAAGCATCTTGTGAGCCAAAATCCACTGCTGTTACAAAATCTGCAAGCAAGGCCAGTTCTGCCAGTGTTGGTGAGACCAGTCATCAGCATCTGAAGAGATGACGTGAATTTTGTTTTCCCTATTCAAATACTGGTAACTGCCAGAAGCAGGGTACAGGACAGTGAGGTCCAGAGCACTGTCCTGGGTTGCAAATCCCCTGTCTATGCCTGCCTTCTCTTCTTAAACTACAATATTTGTCTTTCTGATATCACCCATTGATTAGTATGTTGCAATCTAGTTGCTATAATCCAGAGAGAAGAGCAAGAAGTTATTGTATAGAAAGGAAGAAGTCCTCTGAAAGCTGTGGTTCTTGGGTGTTAACTCTAGTTTGGAAATAACATTGCAATAAGAGAAGATCAGAGGTCAGATATTTTGGGTTTTCTTTATTCTCTGGAAGCAAATTCAGGCTGATACTTCTTCAAACACAGGAAAGAAGGAAGTGTAAAATGTTGTAAAACTGTCACCCCTTCATATTAATTGTGTTGGAGTGACCAAAATCAAGCAAAGCTGAACTACGCACTGCAGGTAAACACAGGTGCCTTCTTCTTGGCAAAGATGTAAATAATAAGTGGGAAAATGGGAATTGTAAAGGGAATCCCTTTATAAGGATTTAGAACAAGATCAGTAACCATTTGCTTTTAATTCAATGCATTATCTTCCATTCTGTTATTATTCTGTTTTATTTCTTTTCTTTGTGGTGTTCAGTGGTCCTAGCCTTTTGTCTTGGGTGAGGTTTTCATTAGTGAGAAGGTCTGTGTTGCAGAGGGCCATGTTCAACAAGCTGCTTGTGTAACTGAGCCAACAGTTAATTTGACTGAAAATGATCCAATTCCTTTTCGTTATGTGCAAATGTAGGTGTTGCAGTATAGTTGCTTGGTTGCTCATTCGTGCACAGGCGCAAATTCAGGAGCCTGTGGAAATGCTTCCATTTAAACATACTTTTTCTTTCCCCCACCTTTCATGCAGACTTAGCAGTTGAGCCAAATAGCTCAAAATCCTCAGGGATTTAAAGGATTAAATGAGAACAATTGTTTTGGTGCAGGAAGGGCTGAAAAGTGCTGAAAGTATGACAGGAGCTTGTTGCTGTGGGACCTGCTAGTGAACTATACAGCCACTTCTGTTATGGGCATAATATAACTGTGAGTGGTGGGGTGATGGGGGTTTGATTGCTGGGAAAATTAGGAGGAAAAACCCCAGTAAGAGACCTAGTGATAGTACTGATGACTGACTGGAAGTTTTGCCACTGGGCTGTTTGGTGAAGGTGGTGGGGAGATGCTTTCTAGTGAACGACAACGAATTTGTTTCTCCCACCAGATAACAAAGTCAGTGCTAGTTTTCATTCTCCTTTGGCTGGACCCTTCTGTTCCCACATGCTCCTGTGAATAACCAGTTCTTTCATGTTCTTCTGTTTTCTCAGGTGCTGAAAGTTTCAGGCTGGAGGTTTTCCTGTGCTCTCCATAGCTGCTGCCTAGTGCTGCCCTGAGGAAAGCAGTGTTGGGAAGGTGGGTGCTGTCCTGAGGAGAAGTGGTGGGAAGGCTCCTACCCCTTGCCCTGAGAAGTGGTGGGAAGGCTCCTACCCCTTGCCTTGGGGTGTCAGGGCTCACCGCAAGGCCTGCTGTGCTTCCCTGCACCGGCTGCCATGGAGACCTTATCCCAGGACTCTCTGCTGGAGTGCCAGATTTGCTTCAACTACTACAGCCCCCGCCGGCGGCCCAAGCTGCTGGACTGCAAGCACACCTGCTGCTCTGTGTGCCTGCAGCAGATGAGGACCAGCCAGAAGGACCTGCGCTGCCCCTGGTGCCGTGGGATCACCAAGCTGCCTCCGGGGTACTCTGTGTCACAGCTGCCCGATGACCCCGAGGTGATCGCCGTCATCGCCATCCCCCACACCTCGGAGCACACCCCTGTCTTCATCAAACTGCCCAGCAATGGGTGCTACATGCTGCCCTTGCCTCTCTCCAAGGAGCGGGCGCTGCTGCCGGGAGACATTGGCTGCCGTCTCCTGCCCGGCAGCCAGCAGAAGTCCCTGACGGTGGTGACGATCCCAGCGGAGCAGCAGCCGCTGCAGGGCGGCCTTCCCGCCGAGGCGGGAGTGGAGGAGCCGGACCGGAGAGGCGCTGTGAAAAGCTCCACCTGGTCGGGGGTGTGCACTGTGATCCTGGTGGCCTGTGTCCTGGTCTTCCTCCTGGGCATCGTCCTCCACAACATGTCGTGCATTTCCAAGCGCTTCACGGTGATCTCCTGCGGCTGAGGTGGCGGGGGCTGTGCTCCCCGGGGTCAGGTTGGGTCGGGTTGGTGATGGTGGTATTGAGCAAGACAATTCCGTGCAGCTTTCCCCAGTGACTGCAGGACGCTGTGCACCGGGCAGCAGTGCTTGCCTGGCTGTGGCCCCCAGAGGGGTGGCATCAGGTCTGTCGGCAGCCTGTGGAGAAGATCACATCCCGTGTCTGGCGGCAGTGGCACTGAGGAGGACTGCATGTGTCATCTCAACCATCTATCAAAGGGACTGCAACTTCACAGTGATCTTTTTTTATTGTGTTATGAGATTAAAGACCTCCATGTAGCTGGCTATACTGTGAAGTACACAGTATGGGCTCTTCTTTAAACACAGTGTATTAAAATCAAAACTGCTCCACATAGAATTAAATGAGAACTGGCACACAACTGTACGAGCTGTTTAATACCAGTCTACACATGCATTATTTTTTAATGAAGGGAGGGAGGGAGATTCATAAAACAGAGAAATCATGTAGCTGGTAAAGTATTTTATATGTTTTAAATGGCGCATTAATTAAACCAAGTTAGGGAATTGTACAATAGTTTTTAAAAGGTAGCATTTTAGAAGCAATTATTTTCTTCCTTGGTGTCTGGTTTTTGCCTCTGTTTTTTGCCTTTGTTTTTCCCATTTCTTTCAACTACAGAAAAGTGGTACTTCCAGCATCTTTTATTTGAAGGCGCTTTCAAGAAGGGATTCAAAGTGGACTAGAAAGGATACTTAAAAAGTGCAGTCAAAACAGTTCTGCCTCACTGGCTTTATGGGAAGGATAGCTTTGCATGGTAAACATTGGACATGCTGTTTTACCTCCAGTCTGGCTGCAGACTTCCTGATTACCTGGCTTTCATAGCCATTAGTGAAGAAATGGGTCATGAGAAGTCCTGGGACTCCTGCAAGGATGTGATAACATATTGCTCTTAATTTTTTTTTTCTGCAGGTTAGGTTTACTTACTTGTTTATGAAGAATCTAGATCTATTTTGCCTCCCTCTTTCCTAGGAGTTGCAACTGTGCACTAGTGGGTGGTGTGACAGAGGTGTTGCTCTAAGAAAGCTTCACCATTGGAACTGAGACCAAGGACTGTTGTACACAGTCATCTAGTAAGAGGCAGTGATGTATCTTGGAGAAGAATCCAGGCCAGCCTAACCTCTTACTGGGTGAGGCCCTCCTCCTGAACTGCTGTGACTGTCCTGGTGTCAGAATGTCTGGGTGAGCTTAACAGAACCGTCTTCCCATGTTTCAGTCTTACTATTGTTGATTTCATGAGGACAGATTTGAAAAACAAACACAGTAAGTGTCCCTTCTCCCTTTCATGACAGTCTCCTGTGACTGTCATGAAACCCCAGTCATTTGCGGTTCACTTCTTGAGAAGAGCCAAATTCCTGAATGTTCACTGCAGTAGCACCTTGCTCTAAGCAGTCCCACTAGCTTTAGTAGTACTGCTCATAAGTAAAATAGAGCCCAGTGTGAATTTGGGTATTTGGCAAGTCCGATTGCTGAAACTTAGATGAGATTTAGGGATTGGATCAAGGGGCACGTGGCAGACCCTTAATAAGACAGAAAAATCTGTTGATTTGCACCACTTCTTTTTGTGATTACAAGACGTAACTTCCCTGAACTGTGTCCTCTTGTTGTCTACCTATTGTTCTTTCTAATTCTTGGAGATTGCTGAATGCCATATTATAACATAGTTTTGACTATGCAGTGCCCAAGTTGGCTCCATAGTCATCGTTGGTTTTCTGGTTTTGTCACAAAATCCAGTTGCTGGTTCACAATAAACATTCTCAGCTCACACTTCTGTCAGGAAAATACCTCTGACTTCATGCTGGATTTCTTTCCCTCCCTGTTTCTAAACCACCATTTTCTTCCTTGATTTCCATTAAGGGAAGAATGGAATATAGGGTGCTTAGTTGTGATGATGTGTGTTTGCTCACATATGGAGAGGAACCATTGTGCTGATTTTTATCTACTGTCATATGTATGCATAGCACAGGAAAAAAAAAAAGTCTTCAGATAAAACACTCAATGCCTTTTTTGTGCAAGGCTCATGTGCAGTGTGTCTTGCATCTGGCTTGCAAGTATTGTAATTACATGGACACCTCTCCACAGCATGTTTCATGTGGTTGCAGTAGGGAACACCAGGTATTCCCAAATGTGTCTTGTGAACGTGCTCGTCTCTTGTTGCCAATAGCTAGCCAGATTTCTACTGACATCCATGCTATGCTGCTTTTTGTGTAAAGGAAAGCCAGTTCACAAAAAATCCTGCCTTTTACGAGACTCTTGAGGAACTGACCAGACACAGGATTTGACCCTCTACTGCCTTATCCCGTAGCAATTTGTGGGTGTACCAGAAGCTTATGGCATATGTGAAAGATGCTCTGGGTACAATGCTGGTGCATTTTGTGCCAGGTTCAGCATTTGTTATCTGAGTTGTCAGTGAATGCACAAAACCATGAGGCAGTCAGGGAGCAGGTCCTGGTGACACACACAGTGGTGGTAGCGTTACCTCCTTCCAGCCATACCTGCCCAACTGAAGCTCTTGAGGCCGAGGATTCTCTGACATTGCAAAGAAAGGCCCTCTTCATCTCCCTATGGAGAGTGCACAATAAAAGAGGAATCAGAAATTAGGTTAAAATACCATACTGCATAACATATTATACAACAGGCAGACCTGGAGTTTATCCGGAATTAATGACGTTAAGTGTTAAATTAGCAGAATACCATCCTGTACTACGTAACACAGTACATTGTTTTGTTAATATGAATTTCCTGTACTTTTGTGCCTGCTGAAATGCATGTTTGACCTAATTTCTGATCCAGACATTTGCCTGCTCACAGCCTTGTGTAAGAGCAATAAGTAAAACCTCAAGATTTTTGCCTGCGTGTACGCGCATGGTGTGTATGTTTATTCCTTTTTATAAATAGGAGTTCTGGAAAAGTTTTTGTTCTGGCTTTAGACTGTGACTAGAATTTTAAATTTGCAGCTGTTATATATGTTAGATCACCTAGCTTTTTTGCTGACTTGTGTAGAAATGAACTAAATAGTTTGTTGTAATGTAGAGTGTTAAAATGTTTCTCAAGTATGTCAATAGTCACACTACTTTAAAAATGCAGTGCAGTCTATCCCGTTCCTTGGTTCAATGCCTGACATTAAAAAGTACTGCTAAATTTTTTTTATTATTATTTTTAAAGACCAGCCTTGTCTTTGTATCTTTCCTTTGTGGAGAAACATGTTTGGACTTGTGCCAAAATTATCAGGTTCCAGGTTAGCTTTTGTTCTCTGGTGTCCAGTAAGAAGTCACTGCCTAGTTCCACCAAAAAGAAAGACAGAAGCTTACTGTGACTCAGTTCTGTTTGAGAAACCAAAACTTATGCTAAAATGTGTGGGTAATTATTCAAGCACCTGCATTTTTAGAGCACATTACTCTGTATGAATGTGTATTTATTTGCTTGTTTAATAGGAAAGGTGTGTGTGTTGGGGTCCAGTATTTTTTCCTGGATGGTCCCAACTTCCATTGTTGGCTTGTGCTTTGCTGGCAAACAGACTTTAGGGTTCACTCTGTGAAATTTTGTTTAGTGAATTTTAAAAATTCAAAATATGCAATTTTGGTATGCAGGATTTTTTTAGGAAATTGTGTGTTCAGTGATTGTTCATGCTTAACCACGATGTAAAGGAGCCTGTATGTTTTGTAAACATGGAGCAGTCATGAGTCCAAAGTTTCATCTTTACTAATGAAGCTAATTCTGAATAAAACGTTAGCAGGAAAAGAGTGATAGCAAGTGAATTATGGTTCCTCTGTTATTTTGCCATCAAATGAGGAGCATGGAAGGGAATTTGGCAGAATTGATCCATATTTTATGAGAGGGTGGCCGAAATTCATCACTTGGTGTTTAAAGGCAATGTGTAAAGTATGAGTTGCGGTAAATAGTGAAAGGGCATTCAAGTTTTAATTAGCATGGAATACAGAACTATAGCTGATGCCTACTAAGCCACAAAACTTTTTTTCTGTTTTAATAAAACTAAAAATTTTAAGTATAAGCTTTGCTTATAGGAATGAGGGATTGCTGGCCTTCACTTAAGCCTGCATTGTGCAGACTGGTACACAGGTTCCCTCTTGCCTTGAGCACCTCTTCCCAGTCACATGATTGCTGGAGCTATAGGCATCCAGCTTTTTTTGATAGTGCACATGATTTTCTGGAGTAAGGGTAGTTGGTAATACACACTGAATTTTTTTCATTCACAGCAGGGCTGAACCAAAATGTCCCAGAAGCAAAAGCTCCAGGCATGAGTCTGTCGTGTAAATGGAGCCAAGCCTGTGTTCTCTGGATCTTTTCACAGCAATGCCAGGGAGCAGAGGATGCTGCTTTCTCCCACTCATGGGAATGAATCTGTACCCACCATCCACAGCCAAACTAGCCCCAGGGAATGGGGCCTACTGGCATGAGCTGCTTGCATGAGTACTGCAGGAGATGTTCACATGTTGAGTGAACACCTCTCTAGTAAGTGTTGGGGTTGAAATGCCTGCTTATACCAATGGCACAGAAAGTATGGCTTGCTTGAGATTTGTTTTTCCCAGACCTTCTTCTGTGGGTGGATGGAGGAGGAAGGGAGGGAAGAAGGTACATGGCAGCAAATTAATCCCAGCAGCATCTGGGAGGCTGCTGAAAGATCTGCTGGCCCTGAAGGCAAAGATTTTGAGCAAGAGCTTCAGTAGGACAAGATTGTCTGTAAATGCAATGGATTTAGAACATGTTAGTGACCTTTCTGGTGCTGTACAGTGTTCTTAGGCCTGACAGCTGGGCTTGTTGTGCTCTCTTTCTTTGTCACTTTACCTCTTGCATGCTTGTGTCAACAGGCAAAGCTTCTTGCTTCAGCCTCAAGTTGAACAATTTTCCAGACATTTCTCAAGTTGCCCTGAGCATCTCTGATGAAAAAAACTAACCTTCCAACATCAGTGAAATTTAATGCTTAATGAATGTTTGGAAAATGCATTTTTCAAGCATTTTCTTGTGCTTCAATATATTTTTATTATAGTTCTAAATCCTCTATTTTTTTGTGCTAATCATGTTCCTGAATGTCAGAGTCAATTCAAGGGATTAGTTAAGATCCACAGGCAGAAGAAAGCACTTCTGTCCATCCCACATTCCCCCTTCAGATGTACGTGAGTCTGTTTTCACTCTCCTCATCCATTTCACACTGGAGCACATAATCATGGGGATGAAATGGGAATTCTTGGGCATACATGGAGCACCTATGCATATGAGCACAGGGACACATTCCTGTGCTGGGCAGGGTGTGTGGTGGGGCATGCACGCAGCACATGCTCATGTAGAGCCCTCATCAAGAGGGCTGGTGAAAGATCCTAAGGTTTTTCTGTCTCAGGAAGGTCACGTACTTTGTGGTGCTGAGATAGCTTGGTAACAGGAAGCTTTGTTATGATTACCTGGATCTCCTGTGAGATGAATTGATATTCCCTCTGAGCTGTTCCCTGCAAACCAGCTCCTACTGCTGTTGGATGGAACTCTGCTCCACAGCTGACGCCTCTTCTGGAGTTCAGGTGAGGAACCATACATTGCTCTGTTCCTCCAGGCTGGAATAGGCATCCAAAGGGAACAACCAGATGCTTGGGCTTTTAGTTGTAAGATAAACTGAAGTTCTTTTGAAACAGGACTGCATACAGCACTCTTGCAAGCTGGAAGGCAACATACAGACTTGGCCTAACTGGTTTGAAAGAGTGAAGAGTGGGTGGAGAAGGAAAGGACACCTGAAAATGAGCACATGATTAGACACTAGCCTGGAAATTCAGATCTGTATGTACAAAAACATCTATTGGGTATGTTTAGCAGTGGCCTGCTTATGTAATTTCTGTCAAATTGTGTCTCAAGAATGTCACTGAAACTCCAGTTTTGCTTTTTCTTCAACACCTTTGAGTTGGAAGCAGCCTGTTTCAAAAGTACTGGTTTGTACTGGTTTCACTGAAAGGTTTGATGGATGTACAGAAATCATCAGTGAAGCTCAGGACTTGGACTAAAGCTGAACAGGAATTCAGTGGGGAGAAACTGGGATAAAAAAGGCCAAATCTTGAATTCTCAGTGTGTGCAGTTGAGTCACATTGTTTAAAATAGAAACTTAGCATGTGTGTCTCCCAGGACAAATAATGAAGTTGACAATGTTGGTAATGCCCAACCGCTGAAGACAGGACTTAGTGAATCTATTAGATCTGAAAAGCTGAAATCAAAAGTGGCCATTTGGTACAGTCATTGCATTCAAAGGAAATAGTAGGATTAGATTAGGGGTCTGTAGATTTCTGACTTGGTTTTCAACATTAAGTAAAAAAACCCAAACCTAAACTGAGAAACCTGAGTGGTTTCAGGCTGAAGGTTATTTACATTCCTATTTTGAGAGTTATGAAAAGATGAGTGTGTGTTGTCACTGCACTCATCAGTTTGGGAAGCGTTGCCCTATAGGTGCCTGCATGCCCTGACTTGATCTGTACCACTGGGATTTGCATGTGCTCGAGAGAAATCTGGATGTGCCTCAAGATGGAGGAGTTTGGGGGGGGGTGGGGATAATCTTCTGCAAGATGTTTTGAATTCAGGTGTCATTGTAAGTGTGTGATCTCACTGAAGAATTTTAAAAACAGTGGTGAATCTTAAAGACTGTCAAAACAGTCTGTCATGCATGTGGTAGACATGTGGGGCTGGCTTTGAGCATAACAGGGAGATCAGTTCCCAAGTATGGCCAATTTGCTGATTGAATTGCAAATTAATAATTTCTCACTTAATTTTTTTTTAATAATGGTTGCAGATATTTCTTGAAGATATGCTTACGGAATGGGGTTAAATACTGGGGACACAATTCAGAAAATATACTGAGAAAGCACTGAAGTACAAAATCTGAGGAAGCCAAAGGGATTCAGTCACAGATGATTAAATACTTTCTTGAACAGAGGTGGACTTCACATTCATGTATTTGTTTCTTGATGCTTGGCTAGTCTGCACAATTCTTAAGGAATACTTGAAGTAAAAATCTTTGCTTTGGGGAAGGCTTTATTTTGAAATTTGAAAGTATATTGACTAGGAGAGGCTCTTTAATACCCCAAGGCAGCTGTTTTCAAGCATCTGAGTCTAAAAACTTGTTTCTGTAGCTTCTGTTTTTAATTGCTTATTGCAACATAGCTGAGCATTCTTAATTTTTGGTAGAAAGCCCCACGACCTTGCAGTTCAAACCCACACCAAAATCCACCTTAGGAATCCAGAACAATGATGGTTTAAAAAGCTTGGGAGAAATAAACTGAATTCTAATCACTTCTTTTCTGCTATGCAGAAATGCTGAGGGGATTTGCTAAACCTACAGGTTGATAAAACAGAAGCCCTGCTTAATGGTTTTATTTGCTAAACCAGCTAACTGCAATGGATATATAGTGTGTTCTTTCTTTTTGACCTCCCCTGGTTTAGAGAAGACAAGATTTGGACAGTTGTAGCTGGATTGAACAGTGTGATAAGAGTTGTAAAATGTTACCAGCAAAGAGTGTGGTTTTGTGATAAACAAAGGATTGCAACACTGAATGTCTTTCGGCAGCCATCCAGGCAGAACAAGCATTCAGCAGCTCCAGCAAACCCTTGGGATAGAGAGAAATGTCAGGAGTAGTGCATAAACGAGGATATTTTTTAATACCATATATACTGTCTGTTATTGCTGATGCTTGACATCTTTGGGTTGAGGTTCTTTGGTCCCTTGTAACAAGCAGCCTAAAAATCCCTTTGTGCTGCTTCCTTAGGAGTGTGCTGTCTCCTGTTCCCTCTTCTTCAGCCCTTTGTTTGGACCATCCTGTTTCCCTACAGACTTGCAAGGAGAAACTTACCTTTGTATGAATGACTGCAAATTTCGACTGCATTTTCAGTGATGAAACTGGTAACAAAATCTTCACAGAAGCAGGAACGTCTCCAGGGCTCCCAAGTTCTATTTGCAATACCCCATTATCTGCTGTTGTTATCATAGGTCCTTTCAAAATCAGTATTTAGGATTATTGTTTCTTTAATACAGCCCAAATATTTTTGAAAAAAGCAACAGCAGAACAAGATAAAGCAACTTGGAGACTAGAGATTATTTGCACAATCTGATTTTAAAGATAGTATCATTTATTAATATGAATGGTTCTTTTTTGTTGTTGTTGTTGCTGGGTTTTAGGTTTTTTGTTAGTTAGTTTGTTTTTTGTTTTGGGTTTTTTTTTGTTTGTTGGGTTTTTTTTTTTGTTTTTTTTTTTTGTTTTTTTTAGTTTATCAGCAACATTAATTTTGCAATCCCACTTCCTTTGATGAAGGAGGGAGATAAGGAAGAAGAAGATCCATATTCATGGCTCGGATTAGATCTGCTGAGTTTCACAATGTGTGTATGTGCTTCTGTTTTGTAAAACCTCAGGAGCCTCCTAACAGCTGAACACTGCAGTAGCACCGAAATCTTAATGAAATGTCACGTGCTGCCTATTAAGATTAAAATGCCTGCTGAAATGTGCAGAGTCTGGGCTTTCTGGCTGTCGAGCACACAGAGCACTGCATGTAGAATTAGTTGTTACTGTCACTTTTCTGAGACCAAACTTGAGTCTTATACCTCATTTGGAGCTGTTAGCTGCCTTGGGCTCTGAGGATCTGTCATATGTGCTAGATGCAGTGGCAGTCCTAACTTTATGGATCTAAAGCAACCAGTCTGTGATAGAGAGACATTTTAAAATGTTGAGGGTGAGTTATCCACCTCCTTAAGAGATTCTTAAATGCTTGATTTGGT